GCTAACTCTCTTCTACCACTGCTGTGGTTCAACTGGTGGCACTGATCATATGAAACTTTCATTGCTTTGCAAAGAAAGGCTCTCTTGAATCCTGTAGAATTAAGGAGACTTATCTCAATGGCATATTAGCTGTCTGAGGATAGGAGTCACTGAGAAACACTGAGTAACTGATTCAGCCGACAAAGCAGCCCCTTCATAACGGGGTAGGGATGAAGACTCGATGGACGTTTATGACAAAGTGAGGTTTGAAGCTTTTGACATCAAAATAAATAACGAGTCAAAGAAATGGTTTATAACTCAGGGAGTTTCTCTCTCTTCTCCCACTCTTCTATTTTTACTTCCATAACTTTCTCTTAGAGGAACAAAGGAAATCTGCCATCTCCCTGTCTCAGTAGAGCACCAATGTTTCTCTTTTGTTAATTTTTAATCATGGAAGTGGCACTTGTAAGGGGAGCAAAAGGACATGCCTTATCCAGAGGTGGACATGAGCCAGCAACCAGTGGCTGGGACGTAGCCACGGCGATGATCAGTGCCACCAGTTGAACCACAGCAGCGGTGGAAGAGAGTTAACTATTGGTAACAGGATCACAGAATGACGGGTCTGTAACTTGGAAAGAGTCCAACTCCTGAATAGAAAAATATTTTCATGTCACTAGAATTAAACAGATCGACAACTAAATTACAGTCAATAAAAATTGTATTTGAAAACACCCAAACATTTGTGAAGACTATTTTCAATGTATTGATTTCTATATGTAAGAAATAATTTCATAAAATATATTTGGTCTGATGGGAAATTTGTGGGACTCTAAAATTTGGGCAGTCTGCAACATTTATAGGGCCATATTCTGGCCACATAAAAATTCACATAAGCCCTGTTTTGCAGGTACTATAAGTAAGTGTTAACTTGAAAGGTACAAAAACACAAAATTGAAGACCTGCTTTAGCCTCAGATTTTAAAAATACTTTGCTAGGATTAGATTTCTCAATTCTCATAAGAAATGAGGGAGCTCCTTTGGAAGTCAGTCCTCACTACTGTGACAATTCATTCATCTGGAATTACTGGGGACATGTTGATAAATGAGAAGTTATCTGAGAGCTAAAGTTTATATATTGTGCTGAAACTTCTGCAGTGGAGTTATTTTTTATGGATAATTTTATTTTTTCTTAAGGCAGAGTTGCTTTTTTGCCCAGGCTGGAGTATAATGGCACAATCTTGGCTCACTGCAACCTCCGCCTCCTGGTTTCAAGCGATTCTCCTGTTCTCCTGCCTCAGCCTCCTGAGTAGCTGGGATTACAGGCATGCATCACCACATTTGGCTAATTTTATTTTTTATTTTTTATTTTTAGTAGAGACAGAGTTTTGCCACATTGGCCAGGTTGGTCTCGAGCTCCTGGCCTGAAGTGATCTGCCCGACTTGGCCTCCTGGATAATTTTAATTTTAAACAGAAGACCCCAACTATAACTTTACCATTCCTTGATGGCTCAAGGCCATCATTATTGCTGCAACCAGTGACCGTGCTGCACTCTGATACACAGCTATTCTGGGGACGAACAATGTTTGCTGGGCTCTCTCCTCTGGCACAAAGGACATCAAGCTGATCAGAGCAGCCAAGGCTGCCAAACCTGCCAAACCTCTTCCCATGAATATTCCCCGGTGTGAAGAGGAAGAGCATCAGAATCCACCAACCACTTCCAAAGAACAACTTGAGAGGCTTTACCTACATCTCCTTCACCCCCTGAACTACTGTACATCTTAAGAGACCAAAGGGCTTGGTGCAGTGGCTCATGCCTATAATCCCAGCACTTTGGGAGATCAAGGTGGGTGTATCATTTGAGCCTAGAAGTTTGAGACCAGCCAGAGCAACATAGTGAGATCTCATCTCTTTTCTTTATTTCCTTCTTTCCAACATAGTGAGACTCCTTCCTTTTTCCCTTCCCTTCTTCCTCCCTCTCTCTTTCTCCCCTCCCATCTCCTTCCCCTCCCTTCCTCCCCTTTCTTCTCTTTCTTTGACAGAGTCTTGCTCTGTTGCCCAGGCTGAAGGGCAGTGGTGCAAATACAGCAAACTGGAGCCTCAACCTCTCAGGCCCAAGTGATCCTCCCACCTCAGCCTCCTAAGTAGCTGGGACAACAGGTGCACCACCGTGCTTGGCTAATTCTTGTATTTTTTGTAGAGATGGGTTCTCACTATATTGCCTAGGCTGGTCTCCAACTCCTGAGCTCAAACAATCCACCCGCCTCAGCCTCCTAAAGTGCTGGGATTGCAGGTGTGAGTGAGCCACTGTGCCTGGCAAAGACCCCATATTTACAAAAGAAAAAAAATTAGCTGGGTGTGGTAGTGTGCGCCTATAGTCTCAGCTACTTGGGAGGCTGACTCACTGTACTTCAGCCTGAACAACAGTCAGACCCTGTTACAAAAAAAAAAAAAAAAGACCAAAGAACAGCTTCATCAATTTACAATCAATAACTATTGATTGAGAATAAGCTGTACATCTTTTGGGACCTTAGCATATAGCACAATTCAGCTTCTCTATAAATGCTGCTTGAAGGAGGATTTGCGTAGGTGTATCTGAGAGAGAAAGAGAGAGAGAGAGAGAGAGAAAGGGAGGGCGTGAAAGGGAGATCTTGGACAAAAAGAGAGACAGACACAAACGTGCAGAAAACACAGCCCTGGAATGTTCAATAAGAGAATGTGAAATTTAAAGACAGTGGTATAAAAGATACTAGGGAGAGATATAATTTTTCCTAGTCTTCCAATGAAACATGAATTTTGTTTCACACACAAATAAAAAATCCAAAATTCATTTTTACATTTAACTCCAAAAGAAAAAATATTGAGGAAAGAAATTATGTTAGGTAGACTTAAAAATCAGTGTACAATTAGGAATTAGAAAATAAGAGGAGAGCCGAGAAATCATGTCTCTTTACACCCTTTTCTAGGTCATGTGAACATTTCCGGAGTAAAAATTCTGTGTCTCCTTTGGTGCCTGCTGCAACTTTGGATCGTTCTCATATGAGTAAATGTTCCTCCTTAGATATACTGAGATTCAAGTGTCTTTTTCTTGTCCTCTTGAAAAAGGACAATTTGGTCAGCTTCTTAAAGATACTCATTAAGCTACACGTCAGTCAGCTTCTAACCAAGTTCTAGTAACTGGGCTACATTTTTTTCATGTATGTGTTTGAACTTTTCCTTGTTAGGAAATAAAAAGGAAGTGAGACAAGGTCTCAGCTCTCAAAGAGCAGGGAGTGCAGAGAGGGGAGGGAGGAAGGGACAGTGGATGCATTAACAAATGACTGTGATAAATGCAGCAAGCACAATGACAAACACACGTTCCAGGTTCAGTGGTGGAAGAGCAAGTGGTGATCATGGCTTTTTAAGCAGTTCTGGGTCAGTTCTCAGGGTCAGCCCTTTGGATCTGAGCACAGGGCTAGGGAGATCCATTCGCCTCAGTATTCTGGGGTCAAGAGACCCTTGTATTTGAGGGCAAGTCGCAGATGACCTCCCTGGTATCACATTTATTAGTGCCATAAATTTTACATATCCGTTAATTTTTTTTCTGTATTATCTTTCAAGAAAACTATCTTAAAAATAATTATTCACGCCAGGTGCAGTGGCTCACGCCTGTAATCCCAGCACTTTGGGGGGCCAAGGCAGGTGGATCACGAAGTAGAGAGATCAAGACCATCCTGGTCAACATGGTGAAACCCCGTCTCTACTAAAAATACAAAAAAATTAGCTAGGCATGGTGGCGTGTGCCTGTAATCCCAGCTACTCAGGAGGCTGAGGCAGAAGAATTGCCTGAACCCAGGAGGCGGAGGTTGTGGTGAGCCAAGATCGTGCCATTGCACTCCAGCCTGGGTAACAAGAGTGAAACTCCGTCTCAAAAAAAAAAAAATTATTCACTATGTGAAATGCTACTACTTCCCTGTATTCTTTATCTGCTTCCTCCACCGAAAACCCTAGGCGATTCTCTTCTGTCCTTCAATAATACCAACATGATTTTCTGGTGTGAGTTGGCCACTATTCCCCCCAGCACCACTGTTTAATTACGGTCTGAGTCACAATTCAACAGACGGAAGGGTCTGAGACAGGAGAATGCCATAGGACCAAGCTATACTGAACTATCACACATTGTTTGAATATTCAGTAGACTTCACATATATTGGGAGGATTTGGTGTGTAACTGATCCAAGATGACATTCAAAACAGTTTACATTATATGCCATGGAATACTATGCAGCCATAAAAATGATGAGTTCGTGTCCTTTGTAGGGACATGGATGAACCTGGAAACCATCATTGTCAGCAAACTGACACAAGAACAGAAAATCAAACACTGCATGTTCTCACTCATAGGTGGGTACTGAACAATGAGAACACATGGACACAGGGAGGGGAGCATCACACATCGGGGTCTGTCATGGGGAAACAGAGGAGGGACAGCAGGGAGTGGGGAGTTGGGGAGAGATAGCATGGGGAGAAATGCCAGATATAGGTGATGGGGAGGAAAGCAGCAAATTACACTGCCATGTGTGTACCTATGCAACCATCTTGCATGTTCTTCACATGTACCCCAAAACCTAAAATGCAATTAAAAAAATAGCTTACATTTTGAAACGCCAAAACTACACTGCTCTATGAATTTTAGACACCAAAACATAGAAGCATACTGAGAATTCAATGTTTTAAGAATTGCAGATTGTCATCTTGTTTCAATCAGTAGCGCCTTCCTGGAATGCAGCTACTTCTCATTCTTTACTTTTCATCTAACACATTTATCAGTCTCACAGTATATTTCAGCCACTGACTGCTATAGAATTCAAATAAACCACCACCAACAGGTCTTAGATTTCTTTGCCCTCTTTAAACTGGGGAAACTCAAAGATTCATTAATATGCTTTGAGCACTTCAAACTATAAGCATGACAGTAATTGCCCATTAAGGCAAACTGCTCTGAATAATCTTGTTGACTACACAGCAGAGAATTGTTGACAAACCTGAGCAGAAAGTGGAGGCAAAGTTCTGCAGAGTGATGTCCACTTCCTCTACACTGGAGAGAGCTAGAAGCCGAGGAAGGAGGCCTTCCAGGGACTGTATGAACAGCCTGGTGCTGTGCTGATCGGCCTCCTGGTTCTTTAGCAGTTTTAGAGACAGGGCAGCAGTTCGCAGGGACCGGTGGCCCAGGCAGTCCCGGGGGGTCTGCTCTTCGTCGGCGAGTGAACAGTTGTCTGACCCTATGTCCGACACGTCAGACCTGCCCGAGTCCTTTTCTGCTGCCATTGAGTACTGATCACAGGAGTCAAACTCTGTCCTAGAAAGGTCTTGGTCATCAACACTAAAATTGCTCTCACTATACCTAGATCCGTAGGACCTTGTCCTGCAGTCTACCGACAGGAAGTTAGTTATGTCAGGGTAAGGGACCGTGTGGCTTCTCTGCACCACATCTGGCTGGTCTACTGCCTCTGGTTCCAATACTTTGCTCAGTGTCTCCTTGCCCTCTGGGATGGCTGGCGACTTGAGACTGTTCTTGTGGTTTCCAGAGTGGTCGTCAGGTGTGGTCTGACCCAACTCTCCCTCAAGCGTGGTCTGGCCTGTGTCTGTGGTGACACTGATGCTGATGTCAAGGCTCCTCTCATTCCCTGACTCCCATGGCGTGTGTTCTGAGGACAGCACTCGCCGCTGCCAGCGGAAGTCAGCCTCATTGATCTCCATGGAATCTCGGCTCCACTCAGCCCCATCCTTCAGCTCCTCAAGGCGCAGAAGCAGCAGTTGCACCTGATCTTCGCTCAAGCCCTTCCCCTGGCTGAGCTCATCCAGGGCACCCAGTAAGGTGCAGACACAGGACACGGCCGCATAGCAGGCTTCGATTCCACCCTTGATGCATGCTTCGGTCATGCCATCCATGATGCTAAGCGGTGTTCAAAAGAGAAAGTGGCACAAATGCATAAAATGTAGAAAATGTCTCTGAAAGGAACAAGAGCTGTTAGCCTGGCAAATAGCATAGTATTCAAAACAGATAGTCTGATTTGCATAAAACAAAATGGTCAGGGTAATAAAGAAAACAAACATGCTCAGGTGGGCAGAGGAAAATCAGATAAAGTGGCCTGCATTGGCCGGGCACAGTGGCTCAGGCCTGTAATCCCAGCACTTTGGGAGGCTGAGGTGGGCAGATCACTTGAGGTCAGGAGCCTGGCCAACATGGTGAAATCACATCTCTACTAAAAACACAAAAAATTAGCCAAGTATGGTGGTATAGTCTGTTATCCCAGGTACTCAAGAATCTGAGGCAGGAGAATCGTTTGAACCCAGAAGGCAGAGGTTGCAGTGAGCTGAGATTGTGCCACTGCACTTCAGCCTGGGCAACAGCTCAAGACTCCATCTCAAAAAAAAAAAAAAAAAAAAAAATAAGTGGTCTGCATTGAATCATACTCCCTCTTGGCTTGCTGGTTTATTTGGGTACAAACAGAAGCTCCTGATGAGCATTTATAATCTTCCTGAACAATCTCACTTTTGTATTATGCTCAGTGATTCAAATAGAAAATAGTTATAACAGTTATATGATAATGTGGGCCTTCCTCTATAAACATATTCCTGAGCAGATGCATATGAATACAACTATTACAAACCCTATAATATTCAGTTTTCTAGGGGGAAGGTACATATGAAGAAATCCTATAGCTACAGTATTTAAGTCAAAAGTTCTTCTCTAAAATAATCCCAATGAATAATTATTGTACATTTGATACATTTCACTTTAAGTCAATATGAAAATATGGAAAGTTCTATGATTATAATAAATTGAGGTGAGTCTTCTCATGTAGCTTGTGGGTGAATTATTAATTACATACATTTCATATAATGTAGAATTTTTTTAAACTTCAGGGATTTGCAAGCAAGGTTAAAAGTCTTCAGAAAAGCAGTCTCTATAAAGACTTAAAAGGATAAGTATCATACAGTTTGAGGAGATCCAGATGAGACTTCCTTTTTGAAATTGATCTTTTTCTGGACTCTGGTTCAGTGGAGCTGGGTCCTGCCAAGTCACAGAGACGCTGTGGGCTCCCGAGAATCTTTAAGAAAATGGTAAAAGAGTAACAGAAAAGTGAATATCACAAAAAAGCACAGGGTTTTTAAATTGTAAGATCAAATAAACATGTACTTTCCCTACTGAGTGATATAGTACAAGGAGAAACACAACTATTTGGAATTTCAAATCTTAGTAAGACTGATTTGGATTTTCTTCTTGACATATGGTGTATATTCGGGCTCCCAGCTCCCAGCTCAGGGTTGGCTTAGACAAGGAAAATTCTCAGAGGGATTCTTTCAAAATCTTTTCTGGCCCAGAACTAGAAAACACTTGGATCTCTGTTCTTTAGTAAGATGGGCTTATAATAGAACCTTCCTGGACTCTTTTTGTCTTATTTTGGTATCAAGTCAGCTAGCTTCATAAACTGCGTGGAGAAGTTCGCCGTTTCTTGTCGCTGAAAAAGTTCGTGGAAGATTGGAATTACCTGTTCTTTGAATGCTTCTATAACTTGTTTCTAAAGCTACAGGGGGCCAGAATTTTAATGGGAATACCTTAACTACTTCTTCCATTCCTCTCAAGATTATAGGAGTATTCAGGTCCTCAATTTCTTCTTGAACCAACTTTTGTAAAGTTGCATTATTTCCCAGGGACTTATCTGTTTTACCTGGTTTTCCAATTTACTGTTCTAAAGTTGCCTTATTACCCTCTTTTATTTATTTAATGTGTGTAACATCTATAATTAGCTTCTTTTATTCTTATTTCTGTTTATTTGTACCTGTTCTGAGTTTTTTTATTGCTCCTGAGAACAATCTTTCAATTTTCTTAATCTTCTCAGTCCTAACATTTTCTTTTTTTTTTTTTTTGTGATGGAGTCTCACTCGGATACCCAGGCTGGAGCGCAGTGGGGCGATCTTGGCTCACTGCAACCTCTGCTTCCCAGGTTCAAGCGATTCTCCTGCCTCAGCCTCCTGAGTAGCTGGGACTACAGGCGTGTGCCACCATGCTCGGCTAACTTTTTGTATGTTTAGTAGAGACAGAGTTTCACCGTGTTATCCAGGATCGTCCCAGCCTCCTGACCTCATGATAAGTTCTGGGAATATAGGCATGGGCCACTGTGCCCAGCCACATTTTCTGCTTTTTATATCCTTGTCACTTTACTTTCTTATTTTTCCTCCTTTTTACTTTCTTTGAATTTATTCTATTTTTTTTTTCTAACTAAGCTGGAGAGTTAGGACATTAAGATTTTCTTTTCTAATATAAGGAGTTAAAGCTATAAATATCTTCCCATTTACTGCTTTTGCTAGCTTCTCACAAGTTCTCATATATGTTAGTAATTGTTCACTACTAACACATTTTAATGTATAAACATATAATGGTAGAAGTCTACAGGAAATTTCAACCTGAGGCTAAATTAACTCAAGGAAAGATGGTTAATGCAGTGCGCCTGCAGCAGACGTCCCATCGTTCCGTTCATTCATCTTCAAAGCGATTGATAACTCCAAGCAAAGCTAGGAAAAGGTCCATTACACAGAAACAGCGGTATTTTAAGTGGCTCTCCTCTTTCCCTCTTTTCATATTTTGTTCTTACCACAGAAACTGAAAACTTCTTCTCTCTAGGAGGAACAGAAATTAAGCTTTCACTTTTTGTTGACATCAAAAAAAGAGTGACAATGCTGGGCCTAAGTCAGGCAGGCTCTCTTTTTCCCCATCTCTCCCCCCTACCCCCACCCTATAGGCCTGCAGCCTCCTGGCTGGACCCTATGAGCCTCAGGATGCTCCATCTCTTGCTGGAAGGGTAACTGCATTTCCAAAAGAGGGAGTGGAAAACCTCACTGTCTCCTGGGATCCCAACACAGTTTAAAATTCAGCTTCACCAGTAATAAATTAGATATTCATTGGTAATAAATTAGATTTTTTTTTTTTTTTTTTCACTTAATCTCTGTCACCTAGACTGGAGTACAGCATCACAATCTCGGCTCACTGTAACGTCCGCCTCCTGGATTCAAGTGATTCTCCTGCCTCAGCCTCCAAAGTAGCTGGGACTACAGGTGTGTGTCACCACACCAGGCTAATTTTTTTTACATTTTTAGTAGAGATGAGGTTTCACCATGTTGGCCAGGCTGATCTTGAACTCTTGACCTCAGGTGATCCGCCCATCTTGGTCTCCCAAGATAATCTATTTTAATTCCCACATCAGTCTTGTGCTTATTTCTCAGTTGTTGCAGGATCTGGAGGGAAAGGGATGGATTGATTAGGCTTCTGAAGAACCCTCAACAAATACTAGAAGGAAAAGATGTTTTTAACCTCAGCTTCTTCAGGTGGGAACGAGAGATATGGGATCAGTGGCTGGGGTGCCAAGGTCTCATAAAGACAAGGGAACTTCTAAAGCTGAGCCACAGGAGAGAAAAGGAAGCAAGGCATACTTTTTCATTACTGTTCATTTTGTGGGGTGGGGAATTAGAAACAAAAAAGGGACTGTGCTTTGAAAAACAAAATGTCCTATATGTCCTTGATCAATAGGCACACAGTGCATATGGCAGAGTGACAACTAGAATGAGAACAGGGAAATAACACACCAAGCGTTCAACTCCAAAAGGCTAAACAAACATCCTGGGTACCCAGCGGTTTTCTTTGTGTGCATAAGCCCTGCACATTTTGGTATCTAGGTTACCAAGTTTCCCAAATGATTGGTTTTGTCATATAAAGTGGAGGCGCTGCTTTTCAGAACATCCTGGCCCCAATTAGTCTGCTGGGCTCTTTGGGGCAGCACCACCTGGATGTGCAACTTGAGTGCTACCATCACATTCTAGCCTCACCTCTGCAGCATGACCTTGGAAAGCCAGAACATCTGTATGAACAGGAAAACATAACTAACTTCCTTTTGCAGTATGAAGGAAATTATTTAAGATATATTTAGAGACCTACATAAGCCACATGCAAAGTATCTACCTAGCATTCAGGCACTAAGTGGCTCTACTATGGGCAGTGACCGCTCTAGTGCCTGTCATTTCTGAGGGGAAAAGAAAGATTGCTGCTGCTTACAAAACAGCCTCTTTGTAGACATATTGTCTTCAGGTCCACATGTCATTCAGTTGAAAGTTACTAAACACTTAATCTGATTCAAGCATAATAGTGTGAAATACTAGGGGCAAACATACATAAGCAATCTATACACAAAAGTATAGTTGAGGAGACAAGCATCTCGTTCCCCGTTCTATTGTGAAACATCAGTGTGATGGAATGTATAATCAATTGCTAAATGGCGGGATGGAATTTAAAGAAGAACCCGATCAGTGATCTGAGGAAGCCTGGCTGTGAAGGACGAGAATTTCGATAGCAAATCAGCAGCCATAGTTAGAACATCAGGTTTCACCATCTTAGCCTTACGACTCACAAGGTGAAGGACTTTGGGCAAGTGATTTTCTTCACCCAGAGGCTCAGCTTTCCCATCTGGAAAACGGGCATAACATTATTTTTCTAAGGGAGTTTGGAAATAAGCTAATGTGAACAGGCAGCAGTGTCTAGCCTGTTGAAATTAACCACTCAACTCTGAGAAGGGAGTGGCCCACAGAAATAAAGGACAGGGGAACCTGAAGAGAGGCGGGAAGGTGGGAGTTGAACAAAGCAGGTCATTTAGGTGGAATGAAGGTGCATCCTGGGAAGTGATAGAAAATGCAAATGATGGAAGAAGGCTCTGGAAGCTGGGCACAGTAACTCAGCCTTGATGGGAGAGTCAATGAAGAGCCATTAAAGAGCTCTGGGCAATGACAAAATTGTTAACAGTGGTGATTTATGGACATAAGTCCAGTAAGACAAAAGGAATAAAGCAGGCAGGAGAGGGAGGCCAGCTAGAATTGAACCAGCTATTTTCAGTCTCCATGTGTTTTTTCTCTTCCTTAGAATAGTAAGAAGTGCACCAACTATTTGTTTAGCACTTTATACTTACAAAGTACTTAGGCAAACTTGATTGCCTTTTGAACTTGCAGCCTGTGGAATATTATAACAATGTACGGATGACAAAACTCTTAAGTTCAGAGTTAAATGATGTACCTTTATCACGTAGCCAGTGAGTGGCAGAGAGAGGATTCAAACCCTGACTCTCAAACTCAGGATCCTGAAATGGGCAGCTAAACCAACACCAAGAAAGGGGCTGCTGGGGGTCATCTGCACTGTGAGAGTCAAATCCAGTGGTAAGTATGATACAGGAAAAGACCATGGGATACGAGTCTCAGGGATTTGCACCTTTTCTTTTTCTTTGGGACTTTGGGGAAATCATTTGACCTCCTAAAGCCCAAGTTCTTTTGGGGGAGGGAATTTTCTTTGGCATGACACTTCTACGAGGAGGAATACCCAGTGGAGTAAAGTTCTAGGCCTCTCTTCTCCCTTCCTCTCCTTTCTTCCAGGTGCAGAAGCAGCCCCTGATCGACTGGTGAATTTAGGATAAGGAGCTGAGCATGCCTTGCTAGCCCCTTTCTTGCCTATCTTCCTGGGGATCTGCCAATCAGAGGAAGCCCACAGTTGTCCCTCCAGGATGCAAGTTCAACAGGTGTAGGGGAGGACTTTTGGGAAGGGCCACTGCTGTCTGAGTGGTAAAGAATGGTCTAGTCTCACTGGCTTCCAAAGCTGTGTTGTACCCGACCACCTAGTGAAGATCAGTTCTTAAAGCTGGCCTTTTAATTTCCATTGCCTGAAGCTCTGGTGGGGAAAAGAAGTAATATTCCTAATTGGTAAAAATAAAGTTGACGGCCCGGTATGGCGGCTCATGCTGGTAATGCTAGCACTTTGCAAGGCTGAGGTGGGCAGATTGCTTGAGCTTAGGAGTTCAAGACCAGCCTGGGCAACATGTTTCTACAAAAAATACAAAAACTTGCTAGGCATGGTGGCATACAGCTAGGTCCCAGCTTCTCTGGAGACTGAGGTAGGAGGATCACTGGAACCCAGGGTCCATGCTTCATTGAGTCATGATTGTCACTGCACTCCAGCCCGGGCAACATAGTGAGATCCTGTCTTAAAATAAATAAATAAAGTTGATATACAACATCACAAGTTTATTACAAATAATAAAGATAATATATATGAAGTGCCTGGCATATAGCAGGCAAGAAAAAGAGTGGTAATTATTACTGTGGGCTCACAGATTTTCTTAACCAGCCATTACATGTGGTCCACTGTTTAATTTTTAGAAACAGTGGGTCAGAACTATCCAATACTCATTACAATAAAATCTCATTAAAACACCAAGAAAGAATTCAAATTTAATGTCTTAGATACTGGCTGGCAGCAATGATTGTTTAAAATAAATAAATCATCAACAAGGGAATTTTGCTACTCTGTTTTTTTTTTTGTGGGGGGTGGTGAGGTACCAAAAGGAAATGCAATCTGACCTTTATGAACAGGTTCACAAGCACAAAAACACTGATGACTTTTCTTTTTGATTCTTTGAGAGAAGGCAGAGGAATCTCTGTTTGAAGAACCTTCAAAATAACCCTAATTCTGCCTCAAAACCATGAGGTAGCACACTGGGATGGCTACTGCAATCTGGACAACCTTTATGTTCTCACTGGGGTCATGACATTTGGGAGAAATGAGGCAAAAGAATGGGATAAAGGGATTCCTCTTAGCAATCAGAGACTGGCAAAGCTCTTTTTTTGATAACGTGTAATCTGAGTATAAAATCATTTTGAAATTCAATGTTGGCAAAGGTAAATAAACACATATATCTGCACACACAGCACCTACGGTAGCAGAATGAAATCTCGGCGTGGCCCTGGTCAGGTGCACATCTAACAGAGTCTTTTAGACTCTGAGCTCAATTATCAAACGGTTTTGTATCAGTGAGCATCACTGACCCCTCCTGCCCCGGCTCACAATACATGTACACACGCACTGACTCAAGAGACAGCATTCATTACTGGATACCATGAGGCAGCAATGAAGTTCTCACAAGTGATTAGCAAAACTTTTCTGAGCACTTCTTGTATGTGAGATGCTAGTCAGGCCCCTGGTAAACCAGGTGGGGATCTCCAGTGCCTCCTCACCTCTTTCATTATTTTGATGGCTTCCACCCGGTGCTGGGGTGGGGGATAGAGCAGCACTCGGTGGTAGAGGGACTGGAGCACGGGCTTCATGGAGTCCACAGATCCCACCAGCCGGACCAACTCGGCTGCGATGTAATAGATAGTCCGAGCCACAGGCCCGCTCAGGGCCGGCGCAGTGCAGGAGCAACCTGATCCCCGTCCATGGTCAGATACTCCCGGAGATGCAGAGTCTGATTCCAGGCTGGTACTGGTGCTGCTGCTGTGAGCAGAGGTGATGGTTTTGTCATGTATTGGATTCCCCAGGATCACGATAAGAGCAGGGCAGAGGTTTTTCCTGGGAAGACATGGAGAGAAAAGTAAGTTTCCCCACAAGCCAAATGATCAAATTTACTCTATGAGTAAACGGATACCACACAAATGACACAAAAGAGTGGGGTTCTTTACTGCTTCTTCTTTTGGCATTTTGCCCATTTTTCTAAGTCTATCATTTCTGGGTATTTCAACAATAGTTTTCCTCATAAATAAAGCTAGCATGAACAAATAAAAGAGAGGCATTAAGAGGCTGGGCGTGGTAGTTCATGCCCCTAATCCCAGCACTTTGGGAGGCCGAGGTGGGCGGATCACAAGGTAAGGAGTTAAGGAGTTTGAGACCAGTCTGCCCAACATAATGAAATCCTGCCTCTACTAAAAATACAAAAAATTGGCCGGGCATTGCGGTAGGCACCTATAACCCCAGCTCCTCGGGAGGCTGAGGCAGGAGAATCACTTGAACCCAGGAGACGGAGGTTGCAGTGAGCTGAGATCGAGCCATTGCACTCCAGCCCAGGTGACAGGAGGAGACTCTGTCTCAAAAAAAAAAAAAAAAATTAAACCATCATAAGTGAAGAAATGGTCTCAAAACGTGAAATGGCTGTTATAAATTTTCACATTACTATAACAAAATTATTTCTCATTTGCAAATTTAATTGCAAATTCCATACAGCTGTCATTTGACTTCCTTCCTGTCGATAAGCCCAGGGACCCAGAGCAACCAGCTGGCTGCCTGCAGGGCCTGCCACTTCTGGGAATCTCCGACTATGATTAAGAGACTGGTATTCCGGTAGAGATGGAGCTCGGGCTAGGAGTAAAGCTCAGTACCTCTTGCCCCCTGCATGAGTTATATGCTTTTTGAATGAGCTGAAAACACAGAAAAATCTCCTGGTTCTGACCTCTCATGATCTTATGATATAAACCGAAGAGGACCTGGAAGCGTATTTTTGCCATAATCATCATCGGATTTTCCACAGATTTTGGCCTGATGAATGTCAACAAAGCAATTTCTCTGCTTTCTTTATTATTACTATTTCTTTATGTTTATAAATAAAGAAATTTTATTTTCTTTATTATTTTGAAACAGAGTCTTGCTCTGTCACCCAGGCTGGAGTGCAGTGGCTTGATCTTGGCTTGTTGCAACCTTCACCTCACAGGTTCAAGCAATTCTCGTACCTCAGCCTTCGAAAAAGCTGGGATTACAGGAGCCGCCACCCCTCCCCAACCCCTCCCCCCCACTATCATGCCTGGCTATTTTTGTATTTTTAGTAGAGACAAGGTTTCATCTTGCTCCCCAGGCTGGTCTCGAACTCCTGGCCTCAAGCAATTTATCTGCCTCGGCCTCCCAAAGTGCTGAGATTTCAGGTGTGAGCAACCACACCTGGCCACAATTTCCCTGCTTTCTCGATAAGACATTTACACACAGATGGAAGTACAGCTGGTAGGTCATGGACTTCAGGGAGAGGGACCCAGAGAAAGAACCAGCAGCAGCCCTCAGGTCGGCGTCAGTGTCGGGGGATCGGGGTGGGTGCTCACCAGATCAGGTCCGTGAAGCCCCTGTGCAGGTTCATGGAGGAGGAGGAGCTGCTGAGCACAGACAGGATGCACTCCAGGTAGAGAAGCTGCAGCTGCTGACTGTCACTGCGGAGGAGCAGAGCCGACACAAACCCAGACGTAAGACAAGGCAAAATTAAAGAGGTGCTGTGTGGAAACACACTCAGAACAATGGTAGGCGTTACCAAAGTGCTAGTTTTTCAGGGAAGGTTAGCATTATGGGTTGAACTGTGTGTCTCCTAAAATTCACAGGTTGGAGTCCTAATCTCTAGCACCTCCGAATGTGACTTTATTTGGAGATACGTCCTTACAGAGGTGATCAAGTTACACTCAGTTCACTAGGGGGGATGCTACTCCTACGACTCTGTCCTTCCAGAAATGGAAGATTGGACACAGAGATATTGAGGGCAGACAGTGTGAAGAGACATAGGAAGAGACAGTCATCCACAGGCCAAGGAGAGAAGCCTGAGGAGATACTTCTCTCTCAGCTCTCAGGAGGAACCAACCCCACTCACGCCTTCCTCTTGAACTTACAGCTGCCAGAGCTGTAATACAATCAACTGGTGTTTAAGGTACCCAGTCTATTGCACTTTATTACAGCAAAATAATACAGTTGGGGTGATTTTTTTTTTAACTAATAAACTTTACTTTTAGAGCAGTTGGAGATTTGTAGAAAACTGACCATGAAATAGTTACCATATTGAGCCTGTTACTAAATCTTACATTGGTATAGTACATTTGCCACAATTAATAAATAAATATTTATATATTAGCTAATATCCAGAGTTTATGCCAGAAATGCTAATTTTTAATAGGTTTAATTATCTAAACCTTTCAAGAGATTGTTTGCCACATTATCTTTTAATTGCTGAACACTTTATGAACTTGCATTAGACTTTTCTTCTTTACTGAAGAAACATGATTTTTCAAAGGACAGATTATTTTGTGTCCAAGTTATTATTATAGGGTTCCTCATAAAAGAACAGAGACAGATTAAGAGAACAGACAACCTTATGGGAAACACCTTCTTAATATCCAGATTAATTTCTCTGCCAGCCTACTATAAAGTATTAAAATCCAGGTAGCTGACAAGAGTGACAGATAGGGCTAGGGAAGAATTTAATTTTCAGGGACATGTTTATTGCAAATACAGTAAATCTGTTTTTAGAGAGTTCACTCACCGACTCTCTAAAGGAAAAGGAAAGGAAAAGGAAAATCTTGCTTATAAAAATAATTTTTGTGTCTCTTTCTCCTAATTTAAAATAAATTAATGACCAAAGGAAGTCTAGTATCTTTAACAGTTCAAGTAACTCCCAGGAGAAGGGGGTGGAAGGAACAGTAAGGCTCATGACAGGCCAACTAGACACTTGAAGAGATAGGAAGGAAGCAAAGAAAAGTTAACGGTAGACAGTGCCAAGGCCAGAGATTACATCCATACAGTTGCCAAACTGAGACTGTAAGACAGAGGATAGTAAGAGGGGTGGACTCTCCATTTATGCGCCATTAAATACCCTGACATTGATACTATGCTCTAAAAACCGTTGTCAAAATTCTTCCATGGCCTGTGCACTAAAAATACTGTTTTTATTTTCTTTTAAGGTATACAGAACTAAACAAAGACAAGGGACAGAGAGAGTCTGTAGCCCTTTATAGAAAAAGGTTCCTGACCCATATTCTAAATCTTCCTTGTCCAAAGAGAGCTGTATAATAATTAAATAATGTTATTATGCTATAGAAGGGAAGGCCATTTCTATTTGGATATACTCTGTCTACCATACCCTGTGAGTGGAAGAAGAGGGTGGAAGAAGAGAAGGGGAAAGCCTGAGTCTTCACAAAAATTATCACTATTTGCCAAGAGGAAGGTGATGGATGGAGGAAGAGTAAGAAATGATGAGCCATTCTTGGGCCAAGTAAAGGAACTCACATTTCTAGGCTTCTTGTCCTACAAGCTTCCCTATGCTTTTGATCAAGATGTAGCTCTCGACAGGAAACAGCAGGTTTCTTCACTCTTATGGAACTGGACAGACATATAAGCAAGGAGACAAAGCACTGGTGGGAAGGGCTGTGAATGAATACCTTAACACAAGGCTCTATGAGACCACACAGCAGGAGCACCTTCTTAGAAAGCATTTCCATAGGAAATGAAGTTTCAGGAGGAGACTGTGGCATGGAGAAGCAGAGGAAGAGGTGTGACAAAATGTGGGGGTGGAGGAGGAAGGGATTTTGGGCTGGGAGGTTTGTGGCTAAAGCACAGAGTGAGAGCCTGAGAGGTGGACAGAGGCCCGATCAAGCAGGGTTCTGCAGGCCATGCTAAGATGTCTGGACTTTATTTGCAGGTACAAGAGTGACATGAGCAGATTTGTGTTTCAGAATGCTTAATGTTTGCTTTTTGAGAAATTGAGTGGAGATGACAGTTCAGAGGGCCGTGGCATCAACTGTAAGCCATATCTGAAAAATCCCTTCTGGAAGGATTGCCTTCACTGCAGTCTCAGTTAACCATTTTGACCAATCACTTGACCCATTATTAAGAAGAAAAATTATGAAATGCTCCAATTCAAAAATTTCTCTTTTTCTTTCAAACTGTCAGTCTAGCACCATAAAACTAAAGCAACTATAGACAGTAAACGCTGTCAATTTCTGAAATCATTGGAAATAAGTCCACAGAAAAGCTATGAGTCATCAAGCCATTGGCAAAGTGTGCCACAGTGAATATCACAACCCCCAGGGAATCAGACTCGCTGACAGGGAACGCATTGCCAAGGTAACTGGCCTAAGAGTCTCCTTGGAGACTGATCGCAGCAGCTTTTCCGTGGGTTGCGGCAGTCTGGAAAATAGGTGATCGTGGCCATGCATGAGTCACATCATTCAAGGAGCTGTTTAAAACGTAAGCACCTTCCACTAGATGCACACACACACACACACATGCACACTGTATATGCCTGTAATAGCTGTCCCTACATGAACACATAAGAAGAATGCGTATGGCAAAAGATAGCCTAGAAACCGGCCATATCCTTCAGAACACCCGAGGGAAAAACCTGTCTACTTAGGAGGGCTGTAAGTCACTTTTCACGGCTGGCAGGCTGAGTCTCTTCTGGTCTCATTCTTTGCTCATCGCTGGATTTCTTCCCAGGTACATGATCTGTAGAGAACAACACTCAGGCATGGGCCCACGGGCCATGAAGGCAAAGCAGCCACCCTTCCTGGCAAGGCTACTGGGAGGGCAACCTGGCACGTTTTCTATCTCTGGAGTTCTTAGTGTTTCATTTTGTTTTGAACCATACTGACTTTGCCTCCCTTAGAAATAGATTTGAATTTAGATAAAAAAAAGGAGAGAAGAAATTAATTGTGTAAGGAGTGAAATGGAATTCAGACAGACAGTAGGAATGCTTCGGTGGGCCTCATCAATTCCAAGCCTGCGTTGGTATAGATTTCGCTCTAACATTCTGTTCTAGGAGGAGAGGGAAGCAGGGAAAGAGTGGTGGGAAACAGGCAGAGAATAAGTGTCGTTCTAAGCCCAATTATCCTTCCAGAAATTCTTGGATTTAAAAAGCATCATGTAACTTAACTTGCCTAATATAGGACTCTATTAATACCACATCTCCAAGGCATGCGAGGGAGTGTTCTGAGTACCTGAATACATTTTCTGAATCCTCCCAAGAGACCAAGCATATCATGAACACATACCTCTACAGAGCTAAAGCCCCATGAGGCAGTGATTTTGGAAATGGCTGTTGAGGGTAAATACTGATCCTGGTGTGATTTCCGAGAAAGAACCTATTCAGAGAGTAGAAGAGGCATCAATCTAGCTAATAGAAATAAAGGAATTACGGTAGCAAAATCAGAAGAAATGGCACATACGTGAAAACTTAGCAAGGAGAATGAACAGAAGCTGGTCTCTGGTGAGAGCAGCCAGGGCAAGGAATTATCTTACCAGGTAGACATAAAGGCCTTCCCTTACAGCTACGTCAAGCATCCTGTGCCCCCAGCATCTTTAGCAGAAGTCCCCCATCTTAGGGTAATGGAGTCATGATGGCAAATACCAAAATCAAACAAAGCAATCAATTTATAAAGGCAGAACTGTGACCAGGGGAATTGTGTTGGAAAATCAAGCAAGACTATGAGAATCCTATAAAACCATTAAGCTCCAAAATAACATGCCTAAAGCCATCTTTGATTCAATGTACAATGAGAAATCCTAGAAAAATGTGCATGTGAATAATTTTCTCCATTTGAAACCTGTTCTCAAACTCCTGACCTCAAGTAATCTGCACACCTGGGTCCCAAAGTGCTGGGATTACAGGCATGAACCACCAGGAGACCAGCCTAGCCAACATAGTGAAACCCTGTCTCTACCTAAAATGTAAAAAATTAGCCAGGTGTGGTGGTGTGCACCTGTAATCCCAGCTACTCGGGAGGCTCAGGCAGGAGAATTGCTTGAACCCGGGAGGCAGAGGTTGCAGTGAGCTGTGATCGCGCCACTGCACTCTAGCCTGGGTAAGAGTGAGGCTCTGTCTCAAACCCACCCCTCAAAAAAAAAAAAAAAAACAAAACCCCACAAAAACAAAACAATTATTCTCAAGTCATATGGCTAAGAAATGCTGTGTTTTTCAGTAACTGAAATTTACAACCTCTAGTTTCTAATATGTGCTGTGCGTGTGTGCATTTGCAATGTTTGTACAATGCATTTTCCTAACAACCTACAGTCAAATTTCTGATGTACACAGCCTAGTGTTCCGAACTGCATGACAACTAGAAATAGCAGCAACTATTCTAAAAGCAAACAAACCAGTTTAGAGCAAATGTATGTCAAATATTTACTACACACTAGACACTGCACAATTAAAAATAATTCCACTTACAGCAATATTTCCTAGATTTAAAAACAGAATGCTTGTAATAATTACATTATAGGCATAACCTTAAACTCTCTCAGGTAAACCAGGTCATATGGTTGCTCTACAGATGAAGGGGATTCCTTGAGCTGATGGGCGCTCCTGGGTGGCTGGAGCCATCCAAGTTTAAAGAACGATGAACTTGAACTCCATAACACCAGGCACTCACTGTACCTAGTCTAAGACTCTTTTCTGACTTAGGTTTTAAGTTTATCCTTGATGGGCCTATAGACTCATTCTGCCTTATCCTGCTGGCTAGGATTTTATTTATTTATTTTGAGACAGAGTTTTGCTCTTGTTGCCTAGGCTGGAGGGCAATGGCGTAATCTCAGCTCACTGCAACCTCTGCCTCCTAGGTTCAAGTGATTCTCCTGTCTCAGCCTCCCTAGTAGCTGGGATTACAGGTGCCCAACACCATGCCTAGCTAATTTTTTTTGTAATTTTAGTAGAGACAGGATTTCGCCCTGTTGGCCAGGCTGGTCTCAAACTCCTGACTTCTGGCTAGGTTTTAATTACTAACTGGCATAACTACTGTGAGCCTCTCCCATGTTTCTAGCACTTAGAACACTATTCAGGAAAAAAAGAGTTTAGCTAATTAGTTTCCCTTGCTTGTGAAGTAACAAATACAGTCTTCGTATTCTTTATAGTTCTGGTGGTCTTTGTTCTATTCCCTGCCAATACTAAGACCTGGGGGGTGGGGCAGGGGTTGGGGAGAAGCATCTCTGACAGCTGGCAGTACCTGGCTGCCACCAGTTAGGTTGTGGTGTCCTCTGGTGAACACAAACAAGTTCCCAGGTATTAACATCAGATGAGGACTCACCATGACTGCGCTAAACAGGATGAAGCCAGTCAATGACCATGCCTCAACAGTCTTTTTTAAAAGGGCTCAGTATGACCACGAAAATGAACAAACGTGCCTCTCCCTTAAGTGACTCTCACTTCCTCTTCTCTGACAGCTCTAGCTCCCATCTGTTCGTCCTGTCTGCTAGAAAAAATTAAGATGGCCAATGCTAGAATTGCCCCTACTTTCTGACAGCACCCACTTTGAACAGAACGCTCAATTTTTAACCCGCTCGAAATCACCTAACTCATGCTAAAATCCTAGGATGACCCCTCTGAACACCCTTTTACTGACTGTCCTGTGGTTACGCTCCCTCATATAAGAAGTTAATAAAATGAATCTTGTTAACTTCAGGCGTTCCTGGAGCTCTTTGGCTGATGTGCATTGGCAGTCTTTTAAGTGAATTTTCTCATTCAATCTTCCAAAAACACGAATGTGTTTTACATTACTAATATCACATTCCATACAATATTACAGTAATTATAATAGTCTATTAATTATTTTATAGGGTACACAAGCTTAGGGTTGTTCAGATCTTTGGAGTCACATGCCAGTAAGGGACAGAGCATGGGTTTTAACCCAGGTAATCCAACCAGGATAATGTAGTTGAGCCAATAGTGATTAAATACCACTGGTAATTGGGTCTTAGGAGAAAATGTGCCAATAGAAACATATTCCAGCTCTGCTATACCAGCTGCCTGTATTATGATGGAGGCGAACTGGATGGGGCCGGGGAGGAATTAGCATTAGAAGAGATCAGACCTCTGGTCACTGATGGGTAGAGTGAACACATGACCTATCCAAACCAGAACACCTTTGAGAGTAAAGGAGGGTAATTATAATTATTACACAAAAGATATCATCTGGGACTGTCCCAAGCAAATGGGTGGCATGGGGCTTTACATATGGGGGCTGCTGCACTTGGTGCTAGACCCCTCAGTTATGATGGTAATCTGAGTGCCAGCTCCATTGTTCCAACACTCCATGGTCAGGAAAGATGGGGACCTAAGCAGGGTACAGCAGCACTATTTACATCCATCTGCTGTAAGACTCAGCACTCCTGAGCTGGGGGAAGCCCAAACCTGCTGCCTGCCTAGTCTGCCAGGGTCCAGGGATGGGAGAAATTTGAAGGTGGGGGTAGGGGAAAAGTTAAGTGCTATTTCTTTTTGGTTTATGCTATCCATATATTAAATAGGCCTTTTCATTTTTAAAAATAAATTTTATGGTGCATATTTAAGGTTTACAACATGATGTAATAGGATTTATATATATAGTAAAATGGTTACTTTAGTGAAACAAATTAACATATCCATCATCTCACAGAGTTACTCACTCCCTCCCACTATCCATCCACATCCCAGTGGATTTAGCAAAAATCCTGAACGCAATACACTATTAATAACCATATTCCCCAAGTTGTATATCTGAATCTTTATTTATTCAACCTACACATTTGCTACTTTGAATCCTTTGCCTTCTATCTCCCTATTTGCCCTCCCCCACCCCAACCCTGGTACCACCATTTTATTCTCTATTTGACCTTGAAGTGCCTGAACAAAGAGAGCTTACTTTGGTCAAAATATAGAAATGACTTACAAGAACAACAGAAGAATTGATGAAGAAACCATTTGGTAACAACTTTTAAGAGTAATTCTAAGCTTAGCTTAAAAATAATCCTAAGTTTCTGAGAAACTGAAAGCAAAACAAACAACACAATGAGTTTCTGCAATGTTTCCAGCAAAGTGAGAGAACTCATTCTTGCCTATAACTAGACTATTTCTCCCAACTCATTACTGCATTTAAAATTCAACGAGTTTTCTGCATTATCAGATATCCTAGTTACCAATGAATGATAATTTAATGTCTTTCATAATTCAAAGGGTACTTCTGATTCGTACTGTGTTGTAGAATTTTGCAATTCATGACATATGTAGCTGGTAGAGACTTTTCATCCCATGTTGAAAGTCTGGCATTTTATGATTTGGCTTTACTACACATACATAGGTTGTCTTGTTAACTGACTGCATGGAAAACTGGAGCAGCAGACATCACCTAAGTGAACTCATACATTGATTAAGCTGATATGCAAAAAAAGTTAAAGAGTAACATGGTCTTCTTAAAGGCAGGTGTGTGAGCTCATAGGCTCTGGAATGGTAGAAGAAATAGAGAAAGATTATACAGTCCAATGCTGTCATTTGACAGAGGAAGAAAGGGCAGCAGAGTTTGATGAGAAGAGTCATGCACCAGGACACAGCTGAGATCTGACCGAGATAGGACTGGCTCTCACACCAACTAGCACTCAGCCCAAGATTCTTCCCACTCGGCTCCATGCTCCAGGAAGGAACTGTTCTCTGTAAGGTATTGTTTCCCCATTGTCACATCAGAAAATGACGTACTCTAGAAATGGTATGTGGTAATTTAAATTGCCCCAAATCTCAGAATATATTATTTAAGGGTAAATACCAGTGTTGAAGGCGGTGGGGTGGAGAGGGCTCCTAAAATCTTATAATCTGTCATCTGAAGTGACACTGTAGACAAAGGTTATTTCAGAAGTAGACGACTGGTAAGAAAAAGTGGCAATGGTCATGGCACTTACTTGATGGCAGCTTGCAGCTTCTCACACAGGATGGTGAGTACAGAGACAACATCATCACAGAGGGACTCCACCGTGGACCCTTCAAAACAGAGGAGGTTACAGGCATGTGACATCAACAGGAGGCACGACAAGCTCCCTGAACTGTCCTTCCCATCTCCCACTTTAGATGGCTTTCCAGACTGAAAAGATGATTTTCAGATGTGGAGAAGCCCTGAGGCCACCAAAGTGAGGATCACGGAAAAGACAGGAATTAAGTCTAATTATTCTCTCTAAAGCAAAACGTTCAAAAGATAGTCCAGAAAGAAAATCACAGATTATTTATTATCGATAAAATTATCTCGCACTTAACAAAGGGAAATTCAGTAATTTCAAAAAACATCACAATGGACAGCAATTTTCTTAATATTTAGGCTAATGGACTATGCATGTATTCCTTATTCTGATCCTTGAATTTCTGGGTCTTCTGAGCTGATTGGAGTTGTATCCCAGAGAGATAAAATAAAGCAGCATGGGAAAAGATGGGCTTTGGAATTAAGAAATCAGAAAAAAAGGGGCAAAATAATTTAGCCACCATCTTTACCTGCTTTATTTGTTCAGCATCTGCAGGGCACATGGTCTTTGTTGATACTGAAGCAACAGAAAAATAAAATTTCTCTCCAAATGTGGTCTAGTTTCCAGAAACTAGAACCAAAACTCCCACAGAAGGATAGTGGGAAAAAGGCTGAAATTTGAAATCTGTTCAACTACACATCAACAACTTGCTGACTGTGTGAGCTTGAGTAAACTTCAGGATTTTTTCTGGTAGAAATGGGATAAACAATACCAATCTCACAGAATTGTCAGGCTACATGAAATAGCACGTGGGAACACTTCTTTTCTAAAATAAAAACTTGTAAAGATCTACACAAATGTGGCGCTAAGTGTCTGATGAATATATAAATGAATGAATGATGGTGACATCGAGAAAGATGGAGAAAAAATGGCAAGTGTGTAAGAGAGAAAGTAAAAGTTGGAGGAGGGCAGAGAAAGAAAAATAAATTCTGGTCCCCAGAATTAAGATTTTGAATGTAGCAAAAAAAAAAAAAAAAAAGAAAGAAAGAAAAAAGAAAAATAAGCTACAGTGATAAAAGTTTAAGATTAATAAAACCCAAACAAGTAATCCTTAAGTTCAATTTTAGATAAACGTCAAATGAGTACCTCTGTCAATTTTTTACGACTATATTTTTTAGAGATGTATCCTTGACCAAGAAGAGTAGAACCCCTTCTTAGTTTATAAAATCATCCTACATTAAAGTGAAGCCTTTATGAGAACACCATAGCCAAAAAGAGGGCAAAAGAAGATGGAACATCTTAGTGTATGTCACTGAGAGCATCCAACTTAAAAGGGCCCTTCCTGTCCTCAGCCCAAGGATGTAGCATCATGGGACTAAAACAATACAATGTTTTTAGTGATGCTTTAGAATGTGACTTAAGGCTTGTCTCTTTCTCATTTCTTTCAAATACTCTTCTCCTAACTGTGGCTGCCTAGCTGTTTCTCTCCTTTTTATTCTCTCCCTTTTTTTCCTCCCCGTCACCACTATCTCCTTCTCATTATTATTAACTGGCAAATGTAAGAGAAAAGCAGATTTGTCCAATATTTTTAAAATTACTGAATAAAGTCTGGAATAAAATCTGTATTTCAGTTTTTAATCAGATGATACTATTTTTGCATAACTCTTTCAGAAAACAATATTATCAAACCAGTTTTTAAAAATTAAATTGCTGGTTAGTTATATGTGGACTTCTGTATTTTTTTCATTTCCTGGGGTCAGACTGAAAAAGTTCCTTAACTTGATTTTAGCTGATCTTTAAATTGGGCTGTCTTGCAAGAGGCCCTGTGAGCTGACTCACAATTCTTCTCAAAAATTGGTATTTGACAAACATAAATCTGGTGCAGTAACACTGTATGCCAATCAGGTTTCTACAATCTTCTAGCCAGTTATTCTCATTTTAGCAATTAAACATGACTTCATGGAGAATGAAGTAACTAACAACGCCAGCCTCCAAATGAGAGGTATGTGAAGAGTTAATTTCCCTCACATAGTTGGATCAGGAACAGGTGTGGTTGGCATAAGTGAATGTAGGAACAGAAGGAAGACAGCAGCTGATTAAATAATGCCACCTAAGGAAGAGCCAAGCACAACCTCTGAGAATGGTAAAACAACCGGAGAACTCCTACCCGTCTTTGTACTCCTCACTCCAAGCACACAGTAGGCATTCTCACACATGCTTTAAAAACTGAACTAGTACAAATCAAATGCAATACCTTGATTCCCGAATTCCTGTGGGACATCTGGATTTTCAATTATCTAGTAAGGGAGATACACACACAATTAGGAGATTCAGGCAAGAAAAATCCTGACTCTTCAACAATGGGAAAATTCTAGAAAACAAAATGGCTTCCTCAGTGCCCTGAGCTCAGCTACCTTGCCTGAACACACCCTCCATCCACCAACTCTTGAGAGTGTTTCATTATTCATGGTGTTTATGGGAAAGATTATGATGTCTGGAACTAAGCTTATCAGTTCCCCAAATAATTCATTCGAGAGTGTCCGTGCAAACGTGAACACTTGCCAGAAGTTTAAACCCCGTGCTGCACTTAAACTTCCACGATTCCAGGATGCTGGGCTGACTTGGGGCAATGCCTGGCTAAAGAGGTTAGTTAATTTTGCACAGAAAACAACTTATTCCAAGGCTACAGCTGACACTGTGCATGGTCCCTGCTAAATACAGACTCTTGACCATAAGAAGAATTAGGTTCCTGGACTTCAAGATACAGGTCCAAAGATAACCACTGGTCAGAAGCTCCATCTTCGTATTTGATGGTGAGCATATTAACTGCATCTAGCCAGCTGCTCTGGGCTAGGCACATCTAGAACTATGAGGACAAAGACAGAACTGTGAGGGAAGGGAAATTGGAAGAAAAAGACGTTTACAAATAATCAGACTTACTTCCCATTGCAGGGATAACTCAGCGACTACTGAGCTGAGACTAGAAGGTGGTGCTTTATTCTTCCTACCTCTTTGCACCAGGATAATAAGGAGGTATTTTCATGCCAATTAATTACCAGACATGTAACTCATCCCACGGTGATTTAATTTTTAAACTTGTTACAGGCACATGTATCTACTATTCTCTATTCATTAATTTGCAAGTCAGCTGTTTCCACAGCAACTTTTGTGAAATGTTATGTCAGTATCTACAGCTGAGAATGGCTAAAGTCAAGTTGAGAACAACACTTCACGGAGGAAACACATCTGAGTTGTATTTAAGGGTAGGAGAATCCAATCCCTCCAAACTTCAGCCCCAAATATTAAAATGTAGCAACTTTACTTTTTGAAATTAGTAACTTACAACTTAACAATAGCTTGGGTTACCTAAAATAATTTGATGATAAAGCTGGATAATATGTAGGATTTGTGATGATACAAAATCAAAATTATCATCTGTCCTGGGTGTGCAGCTGGGGATAAACATCAGGCTGAAGATATACATCCTGCTAATGATTTTGGCATTCTACATTATTTATTTTATTTCCACTGCATTTCACCTTCCTGATTTTGAGGGGATGTCCTTCCAGTTGATAACTGAAATGAGTGACTGAGGTAAGTATCTCAATCAAATGAGGTTTAAGCTAGCTTTAGGGCACTACCAGGAAAAATGTGAGCCACAGACACACCTATAGCTGTCTGCACCTGTGGCTGTTTTTCTGAAAAGGTTTTCAGGAGGTTTCTACATTTTCTTAAAGGAGGGAGAAAGGCATGTAGGAAGAAGGGCAGGTAGGCAGTAACATGCTTGTGAGATTTTACTTAGTACCCAGCAAATCTAAATTTTACATAAAGTGAATGTTTGAAGAAAAAAACTGGAGTAAAGGAAGAATCAATTATGCAGATATCTCTGGGTAGATAGAGGAATGATGGATCTTGTCTTTATTCTGCACCTGGGAAGATGGGCTTGTAATCGACATTAGCAGTGTGGAATCAAACAGACTTTAGTTTCAGGAGCTAGATTTAGATTTCGGACCTAAACTAACAATAGGCATGTCCTTGTTTATGGGAGGCCAGCAAATATTATACTTATGAGTGATCTGTTCGGGCAGTCATCTGGATATGCCTGAGGCCTCTTCTTACCCTTCTGCAGCAGTCTTGCTACTGCAGAACGCTAGTGGTAGCAATTCATTTGGAAGAGGGTGTTGCATGACTCACCTCCAGGCTTAACCTTCTCTTGGCATAAGGAATGTGGGGGTCCTGAGATTTTAAAAATTTTCTTTTACACAGTGATAGGCTGTGCTAGAAAATATACACATCTTCCCCAGGTAATGCTCAGCGTTCCCCAGGGAAGTATGTGGCTTCTTTAAAACAAACCTCTCCATTCCCACAGACTGCTCCACTTTAAGAGCTTTAAAAAAATAACCTAATTCTTACGTGGCAAAACTTATGACGCCCTCCACTGGACATCACAAATGCTTCAAATGTCAGCATCCTGAGAACTATGTTTTCCGGGACATGGAATCACATTTCCAGGGACCACATAAGTAACAGAAAGGAAGTAACAGGAAACACCAATTTTCCACCTAATTTGAGATCTTGCCTCCGGTTGGGGTGAGTCCAGATGGTCAGTGATGAGCAGGACCAGAAAGCTGATTAGCCACATAATACACCGGACAGAGATTGAGAGCCTCTACAGTATCACCTGGACCTCCATAACTACACCTTTGCCATCTTATAGAAGAGCAATATGAGCTAAAATGCTGGGGTATTTGACTTGAAACCTAATACTCTCCTACTTAAAAATTTTAAAATAAGATTAAATAAATTCATATAATTGAAAGCACTTTGATACAAAGTTTGATTTAAATGTTTCATTTAAAAATATTAAGATATTATTAATATAGTGTTTGATCATGTTGTCATTTAGTATGGATGAATTATGAGTGTATAATCTTAACATCTTAGATTTGTGCCCAGTAAAAACACTTTTTCTCTCAATATGTTTTACATTTATTTTAATTTCTTTTAAATTAAATATTCCCATACCACCTACATTCAAAATCCTACTACAAATAAAATTGTTTTTAGCAAGGGGTAAGCTAAAGTAATAAAAATATCTCAAGTTAAAACAATTTTTAATAGAAATGAGGCTTTGGATATAGCAAACAGAAAAGAAAAAAAATCAATATTTATTTTTTTGGATCAGTGTTGTTTTCAACACTGGCTGCTAGAGCACATATTAACTGAGAAGTCGCCCTGGCGGTCAGCTAGGAGACCAGGGGTTTAATTCTGGCTCCTTCATTGATAAGCTCATTAATTTTAGATTTCAGTTTCATCTTTCTGAGCTTCATCTTCCCATCTATAAAATGAGGAGCAAAGAATTTGACTAGATCATCTCTAAGGTTCCCTTCAACTCCGTAATTTTCTAAAAATTAGAAAATAATTGAAATTAAAAATAATTACAAATAGTTGAAGTTAAATAAGAAATCCTATTTTTTATAAAATTAATTTCTGAGATATCTGGGACTGTAACTGAGATTTTCTATTTGAACAAATAACTAATGTCATTCAGAACATTCCTTACAGATTTCAAAAGGATTTTAATCTAAATCATTAGAGGCAGATTTTAAAACAACACAAAACACCAAGTTTGAAGAGGAATCATCCTCTCATTAACATTCCCAGAAGATAATATATACAAGAAACCAATTACACTTACATTTTCCCCTGGAACACTCATTTTAGACAATCTGTTCAAGTTCAGAGCAAAAAGCTCTAGTGGGCTTTGATGACAGAGAGAAAAACCAGCTCAATTTCACCCTGAAGGCCCCAGCAGATGAGGGAGGCCTCCTGCCACCTTTTAGTTAACAAAGGGAAACACATCCAACCTCAAAACATGTCATAAACTCTACTCATTTTTCTTAATTTCAGATTTACTTCCAATATGTGTTAATGCATCACAATATTTCTAATAAACATTTTCAATAAGAGAGGTTTGAAAACAATGATTTTTTTTTTTTTTTGATACGGAGTTTTGCTCTTGTTACCCAGGCTGGAGTGCAATGGCGCGAACTCGGCTCACCGCAACCTCCGTCTCCTGGGTTCAGGCAATTCTCCTGCCTCAGCCTCCTAAGTAGCTGGGATTACAGGCACGCGCCACCATGCCCAGCTAATTTTTTGTATTTTTAGTAGAGACGGGGTTTCACCATGTTGACCAGGATGGTCTCGATCTCTCGTGATCCACCCGCCTCGGCCTCCCAAAGTGCTGGGATTACAGGCTCGAGCCACTGCACCCGGCCAAAACAATGATTTAAAAAATTTCAAAACCATGACTTAAAAAATTACAAAAATTGTAAGGAAAAGCAGTTCTTGAAGCTTTGGGGTGAAACAAGAAAACATCTAAATAGCTTAATTTATACAAACAAATGTTCTTTTAAGACAAGCAAGCCCTTCCTACTGTTTTCAGTAGGCAGGCAGCCCTGGCAGGAGGAGCCCCAGGAAGGTGATGAACGTGGGAGTATCACAGACTCACCGTATTCTCCTGCCTCTGCCGTAACTGTAAAGTCAAGTCACTCAGCATTTGACTGAGAGTTGCCCGCACAGCAGTGTTTATGCTACGCTGGTGACAGCTGCTTATGTATGTCTCAATGCACACCTGGTAAAGAAATAAGACAGCAATACACATGCTCTGCAGGTATCAGCTCATTAGCAACATTCTTTGGGATTAACCGGAGAGGATATCAAATCCCTCTTAAACAGAAAGTCAGCCTGATTTAGGACTAGTTATTACTAAATGTAACTAAATATATTTTAAATTCCTGGAAATTTGTTTTTAAGCATATAGGAAAAGTAGTATTTCCCTAAGGATTACCACTCTTACAACCTGTTCCTTTCAGCGTCATAGGAGAATGAAAATTAGTGATTTTTAGATGTGCCAAATAATTATATCTAGAACCAACTCAGATGGCTGGAAATTAATCACAAAAAGCTCCCTTTGTGGTAAGATAGAACAGAATTTATTAACTCCTAGGTTATGAAGTGTGTGGAAAGGGTTAGCAAAACCCTTTCTCCTGCTCTATGAATGAGTTTGACCTTGGGTCAAACGTCTAGCTGTGTTCTTCTGGAAATTTCATAAAGGTAGAACATCAGCTGTGTTACTAGGTAGCATGGCTTATGGCAAAAATGTTTCCAAATTACTATGCTGCATCTGAATTGAGATAACGGTGAACAGACTGTAAATGCCTGGTGGGCTTCCCTAGGGGTACTGACTCTTCTAATTGATCACATCCTCTGATGGAACTCTGCAAACTCTGCTAATAGAGTTGTTTCAGAAATACTGGTCCTGTGTGGAATATGGGGCTTCTAGACCAAGGTGACTGCACTCACCGAGATGGCTCTCATCTCCCTGCACCTATGCTATCATTTGAGAGCTGGAGCTTCTTCCCTAGGCAGCTTTGAGGACCCTGGGAATAACAATGCCTAACACTATCCTGCTATGTTTCGGGTCCTGTGTCCTGCAAAGTGAATGTAAAACCAAGGGTGGCCTATCTGGATCTTGCAAGTCTCAATGCCTAGTTGAGCCTCAAAAGACTTGATGGTGGCTACTACATGGAGAAATCTCAACTAGAAAAAAAAAATCTTTCATTTGATAATATGATGCTATAAGTCATGACTTTTCAGATTTTTAAAATTTATTATACTTTAAGTGCTGGGGTACATGTGCAGAACGTGCAGGTTTGTTACAAAGGTATACATGTGCCATGGTGGTTTGCTGCATCCATCACCCCGTCATCTACATTAGGTATTTCTCTTAATGCTATATTTTATTGCCTGTAATTCTTCTGGAAGCCACAGGGATAGACATGAAAATGCATGCTTTAAATGTGCCTACCTTTTTTTCCCTCTCTATAAGGCCTTCAATTTTACAAAACATATTTAGACACACAAAAACAAAAAAAAGTATATAATTTCCTAAATTATTTTTTCTAGGAATAACTCTAAGATTATTTATAATGAAAATATAGGGTTCTCACCTACATGACAAATTTAATTTAATGACTGACAACTGAGACGGGCAAGAGACTAAATTTTAATCTTTGTTGCTGCTTCTGCTTAAGCTGAGTTTTCTCCAGGCCTCATGTTATTTTTTTCTTTCTGCCATGCCTATGTTTACCTAGCAGAATTAACTAGGTAAACACACATTTTTTTAAGTTTACTTTATCTCTTATTAGTATTTCAAAGGAGCATTTGAAACCGAAAAACTATATTTGAAAAAAAAAAAAAAAAAAAGGCAGTCTTCTCAACCTGGACAAAACCCAACAACCCCCAAACCTGCATTTGAAAGTTGGCCTAGATTAATTCATTTCATAGTTAAGAAGCAAAAGCAAGTTATAAAGTGTTTGTTTTTCATAAAAGTAATTAGGGCATGTGACTTTTAATTCATTTTCTCAAATTATCATGGATACAGCGGATTTGAAGATATAGTAATTTATGCACGCTTAGAAAAAAAGATATTTCAGGCCAGATGTGGTGACTCACACCTGTAATCCTAACACTTTGGGAGGCTGAGGTGGCTGGATGGCTTGAGCCCAAGAGTTTGAGATCTGCCTGGGTGCAATGTGGCAAAACCCCATCTCTACAAAAAAAACAAAAATTGGCCAGACATTGGGGTGCATGCCTATAGTCCGAGCTCCAGGCAAGGGAGGATCACCTGAGCCTGGGAAGGTAGAAGCTGCAATGAGCTATGATACCATGCCTCTCCAGTCTGGGTGACAGAGACCATACCTACCCCCCTGAAATATTTCTACTTTTGTATGTGATGAAATGGTTTTAAAACTTCGAAAATCATCTAAATGAGTGCAGTGATTCACTTTGATGAAGCCAAACTCACCTTCATGTATCATTTGTATTTCATAATTTAACAGTTTTCTTTAAATCTTACATTTCCTCAGAAATCTTTTTAACTGTAGATCTCTAAGCTCTGACATTTTAAACTTTGGGGGGAATTTTAAGCCTTAAAAGCATTACAGATGAAAGAGGAGCTATTTTGAGAGCTGTATTACACACTTAATATAAACTCTCTTGAATACTAAGAGACATAAAACTATGAAATCTGTTAAAAAAATTTAGACTCATGAAAGAAAGTGCACACATGAGGAATTGGATTTTCGATAATGCAGTGCTGTAAACAGACAAGAACTTTCCAAATATCAAAGTTTTTGTTTTTTAATTTTAATGCCAGCACTGTTTTTAGTGTTTGGTTGCTAATACTTTAGGTATTAACACTGGTCATGACTTAATGCAGGAAACATTTTATTCAGGAAAAAGGTAAGCATGTTTACTCAGCTAAAAAAAGTATTAATTTAAGAAGCTCATTTGGCTAAAGTTGGGAGTACAAAGACTGAAGGCTATCCCATTAAATATAACAATTACCATGTATTTGATGACATGGCTCTCTTTAGGTACCCAGAAAGAAATGCTTTCTCAGCTATCCTGATATCTTCTAAAGCAAAGTTTCTTAAACTTCCTGTAATACTAATATATTGGTAAACTATTAAGATTCATAGAACTAGCTAGAGTTTCCATTTTTTAAACCTGTTCATTGTATTCCAGACCAACTATTTTTACTGTTTTTTTTCTACTTCAGAGCAGTATTAAATGAGCACACTGAATCAGAGCAGCTAAGAGAAAACCAAGTCCAAAGGCAGGCTGAATTTCTGGGAAAGAGCTAATCAGTTTCTTCTTTTATTCTGCCCATTATTGGTTGTACCTGCCCATGCTTTTTGATTTCATAATGCAGAATCAACACGGGGAAAGCCTAAGTCCTGCCCCTCTGCCAGAGGCTCAAAGGGCCAAGGCAGATACCTTGTGAAAAGCCCTACAGGCACCTGATCACAAGGAACACACAAAGATGCAGGGCAGTGATGAGGTTATAAGGGACGCTTGGTTTATTTCACTGATTTGTAGACATCCAGCTTCATAACATGCTAAACAGAACTGAGAGCAAACACAAATGGTTAATGATGCAAAACAACCCCAAAAGTAGAAGGAAAAAGAATAAGAAAACACAAGTCTGCAGGCCATACATAAGCAATAAAAGCATTACATCATCGAGTAAGCAGACTGACAGATAACAGTACTAGGTTAAACTCAGGAAGGAATCACTAACATATTTAATATTAAGCTGCACAGTGAAACATAGCGTGCGCGCACACGCGCACACACATGCGCGCGCAATATATATTGTTCAAAGGGATCACAAATATTAAAGAAGATGCCACAATAAAAATGTGCTTAGCTTTGTAAAATACTTATGACCTTCACTTTGTTGAACTGGGCAATTACCTTATCTTTTCCATTTGAATGGAGTTGTTGGCACTGCTTTGTTAAAATCATGCCTAATACTGAGTAATAAGTTCCATAAAGAGAAGACCTAGTATATTTCCAATTGAAAAACTTTTATAGGGATGAAAAATAATTATGGTGATTAAAAATAGAAAGGATCAGAGATTAAGCTATAAACAAGCAGAGGGAATGTCTACATAGGGAAGACCATAAATCCTTCTTGAACACATTAGAACCAGAGAAAATCTTGGCTATCACTAGAAGTCTAAGCCCCACGATTAATCATGCTGACAACTCAGTTGCCAGGCTATTTCCTGTTCTTTCCTTCCCAAGACAGATGAATAAGTGGGTATGTGGCAAGAGGCATCTTATAAAATTGGTCCTGCTGATGCAAACATACATATATACACGGGGTGAACTGAAGTTGTTTTATTATTTCTAGGAAACAGCTATATAAGTAAGTCAGATCACCACATTAGACAGGGAAGCTTGCTGGTTTTCCTTTTGGATATAAACTCAAAAGTAAATTCTAAAAGTGCCAGGCATACCCAGAGAAATCTGACTGTGACTTGCCTCTTTCTCCTTTATTGTCTTCATGGCTTACATTGGCATATTAAAATGGCTTAAGACACCTTAACCCCTCCATTCCTGCGCCTTCCCAGATGCCATCTACTTGGTCTACAGAAGGTCTGCTGTGACACTCTGTCCTATGAACTAGTCCAAAATGAAGTAGAGACACTGGTCTGTGTGTCTTCTAACTCCAAACAACTTCAAGAGCCAAGCAAGTGAGAGGTTTAAGGGAAATGTGGAAATTCCTTGCCAAAGAAGCACTAGCTTGCTCAAAGCCCATCTAGCAGTAACTAGCTAAAGACCAGACTCCTCAGAGGAGTCAAACCAGAATCCATAGAGATTGGCACACAGGAAAGAAAAGGTTTCAGGAAGGAAAAGTCAAACTCCTTGAAATGCGACTTCCTCACTCTAGTGGTCTCAACTGGCTGGAGGTCTTGGTCCTGTTTCCTTTGCTAGTTTTCTTGCCAGGAGGTGGGGTTACTCCTCTCACTCTTACAGAGAACCTAACAAGATGCTTCCAAGATAAAACAGATTAGGGTATTTGTGTATTTTTCTGTGGGATTATATCTGAGACTCTCTGTTTTTTAGTTGTAGAACATTTTATTTTAGGTATGTCTCAGAAACAATGCTACCATATCAGAGTAAAAAAAGTATCACTGAACATTTCAAAAGTTATAAACCAGCCCAATCTCAAAAATACTTTAGTGACAACTAGAACTGTTAAATTAGAATCGTTGGTGGCCGGTGTTGAGCTTCAATGTTTCTCAAGCTCCCCAGGGCAGCAAGTGAAACTATTACTAACTTCTAGCCCTCCAATGTGTTATACAGAATGCTCAGAGAAGATACACTATCAATATGGAAAGATATCCAAAAAAGTGGCATATTCCCAACGGTCACTTGAATCCATGGTCACAAAAAAATAAAATGAATCAACACTTGAGCTTTGTATATAAAAACACCATAGAACAATTATTTAACTAAATGCCTTGGTAAAGGTCCAAGGGTATAAGTCTCCTAAGAACGTCAGTCGGTTGCCAATATTATTATGGCAAGATTCTACTAACATTCTCTAAGACTGAGGGGAGCCAGGAAGCAATATAGCAGAGTGATTCACAGCACATGTTTGCAATATTAAAAGTCTGGATTTGAGTATCTAGCTGTAGAAACTTGAGCAAGCACATGAACTACACTTTGCTTGGGTTCTTTATTAAGTTGTGGCAGAGATTAAAAGAGAAGACACGTAAAATACTACTTATTGCTATGCCTTAGGGACTCAATGGCTAGTAGCTATTATTATTAACCAGTATACTGGAATGGAGGGCTGGCTGGCTGGCATGAATAATGATTAAAAAAAAGGTGTTTTTCATACCCTGAAAGTATGCATCTTAGAGAAAAAAATGGTATTTGAGAAAGATTTTGCTTGACCCTGATAGCATGCTACAGAATCAAAGACTAAAAGTTTCCATGAGTCAATAAAAACAAACCAGCAAACATGCATTTATGAACAAGGCTTTCTGCCTTTGAGAAATCCCACAGCGAAGCCTTGAGCAGGTATAAAAGCCTTTCCAGTGGAACACCATCAACCATCTTCATGACTGTAGCTCCACCTTTTCTTTTACTTCAAGACCTCGGAAATTTCTACTCTCACAGCTTTTTCCTACATGAAGGTAACTTTCCTCGGAAAACTCAATGTATCTGCTACTCTGGGCATAGTATTAAGAGAAATCTTGGGCTCAGCTTTCAATGAATGAAGAGAAGGGCTATGTATCCATATGGAGTTTTAGTAATGATTATTCATGGAATTGGGCAGAAAGTGCTTGTTGGCTATTTCACAGTTGCCCATTTTTAAATCTGGTAATATTTCGTATGCTTCCTCTGTCACAGAGGATGCTGTTCTAAAAACCTTTCATTATTGCAGCTTAATTAAGCAAGCTAAATTTAGATACACAAATGAAAGCTGCCCTCTTATTTACATTTTGAGAGTTTAATGATCCTTTTATAGTTTCAGTACCTTGGAGATATAGCCTCATTTTTTCATACTTAAGTACACATCCCACTTCCTGATCAGCAGGTTTCAGGGTAAACACGATTCATGAGTAACAGTCAATGTATACAAGAGTAAGCAGGAAGAGAACATCTAGATTCCTTCTTAACATTTCCACAGACGTTTTAAATGGTTTATTTTAAGATGCTTTTATAAACTGCTTCCCTGTTTCAAAAGTGGCAATGGCAGACATTTCACATTTACCATGTGGCTGGACTTGCACTAAAAGCTTTTTATGTGGATTGTATTTTTCTGTCTCATTAGCACACCACCCTATGAGCAAGGGTCACTTATTTCATCTACAGAGAGCAAACACGAGGTCGGCACAGGTATCCCAGGCAACACCACTGTGAAGTGTAGAGCCAGATTTCACATGTAAGCAGTGGGACTTTGGAGCCCACTTTTTTCTCCCACCAAGCTCAAATGCCTTTATCATTATATTCCTCTTTGGTTATGATCTGTTGTTGTTTTTCCTTTCCTGGTTTTGGAAGAGGCCACAGTATTTAGTTGTTGCATCCTATCTGGATGGGCCTGCTGAGTCTTTTTATTGTGGCTTCCAGATACTCTCAGTGAACATCCTTCACTCATGCCAAACTTGGTGGTGTGTGCCTATTATTCAGGAATTATATTTTCAATCATTCTCTCATTCAAAAACCAGTTCTCGTGAGGTTGATACTAACAACCTCGAGAGAAACTATTCCTATCCAGGGGTAGCGCTGAGGTCCCTCGCAGCCCTCTCCTCCTGAAGATCCTCTGCTCCTTGTCTTCCTCTCCCCCCAGTTCCGTTGGCAGGGGCAGTAGCTTGGCACCTCCCCTTTCTTCCTTCAGATGGCAAAGGGCTAACAAGCCTCTTACACACCAATCCTGCTTCTTCCTATTCTCAGAAACAACACTATCTTTTGAAAAGTGAATCTGCAAACAATGAAAGCACTCACGGGGCTCTTAAAATTCAATTAAAGGCCAGGCCAGGTGGCTCGCGCCTGCAATCCCAGCACTTTGGGAGGCTGAACCAGGTGACTCACAAGGTCAAGAGATTGAGACCATCCTGGCCAACATGGTGAAACACTGTCTCTACTATAATACAAAAATTAGCTGGGCATGGTGGCGTGCACCTGCAGTTCCAGCTACTCAGGAGACTACTAAAATACAAAAATTAGCTGGGCGTGGTGGTGTGCACCTGTAGTCCCAGCTACTTGGGAGGCTGAGGCAGGAGAATCACTTGAACCCGGCAGGTGGAGGTTGCAGTGAGCCGAGATCACGCCACTGCACTCCAGCCTGGCAACAGAGTGAGACTCTATCTCAAAAAAAAAAAAAAATTCAATTGAAAGCAAACACTGATAATTATTTGATTACATTACTTGTAAAGAGTATATATATAAATGTGTTAAAGGGAAGTGTTCTTTCCATCTATATCAATACATATTTTAAAAGTGACTTGTATTGTAATGAGAGGTCAGCTGATTGGCTGCTGCTTTCTCTTTTGACAGTCACATAAAAATTTTCTATATGCTCAAAAATAATTTTCTCTTAATTGTAACTCTTTAATACCACATGATACCATAAAAAGCACATGTATCTGCTAATGTAAGTACTCTCCATGAGTGCTGATAATTAGCCTTTTTCTCCTTCATTTCAGAACTCAGAAAATCGTTCCTTTTTGTCATTTGAATGTATACTCTTATCAGAGCATACAAATCCTGAAGATATTCTTTTCACGAAATGGAAGGGAAATTATTCTAAGTATATTAAAGTTCAGCTTTGATATGATAATGTTTCTAAAAGCCAAAGGCATATGCCAGACATTCAAGAAGCCAAGTTTTCTGTTGGACACATTCTTGGGAGTGCTGGAAGGCACATATTACTCTGGGCTGCAATACCTATTGGGAAAGAGAAGCCTTTATCATTACAAAAGGCATTCATCAGGGTTTTGAAGGGGAGGGGATTTAATCTATAAACATCTCTCTAAATCTCCTACTTAATTTCTTAAAAACTATTCTTTAAAATCAAACGCTTTTCAATGAATCTTAGGCAAATTAGACCGAGAAGGCAATACGCCCGGGTAGAGCAGGGTAAGGGGAACCAGTACTGTTATTCCCACAATTAAGGCCTCAAGCAAAGCAAATGCAAACACGCAGGGCTCTGAGCCACAGGGCGTTACAAGCAAGGATGGCACGCCACACAGCATGCTTCCCACAGATCCAGTTCTTAGCAGAAATTCCCCATGGTAGTAATCACAGAAGGGTTCACTCCAGTGCTGGGGCTTACTTCCACCCCAGTATTTATCCCAGTTAGAGGTAAAGCAGCTGTGAACAGGACACAGGCAGTACTCACCTCAGCGATCTTCAGCACAGCACTCCCATTCAGATCAAATGTCGGCGTGTAGGTGATGCACAGTAAAACCTGTAACAAGGTGCGAGATGAAAGAAGGGGCAAGGGGTTAACAGTATGGAAATTCACTATTGTTTCATATGCCCTTTGTGGAGTCCTATTTTTATGATTCCTTTGCTATTTGCTTTATCTAATGTTTCTTTATAGCCCATCCACTGCTTTCTCATTAGTGGCCACAGTGTTTAATAAAGCAGAGACTATCCTTTACAAAATAAAGGCTGCTAATCTCTCCCCATGGAATGGACTTGCAAGACTGGCCAAAAACAGCATCTCTCAACAGCTCCAGGACGTGTGTCCAGTAACAGCAAAAACCAAAAAAGAGATGTTTAGTAGCAGTCATTTGAAAAATGCCAGGCTTAATGCTAGGCACTCCATATGACTTATCTAGGATGATCTTTTAAAAATAAGTGTTGTTGGCCGGGCACGGTGGCTCAAGCCTGTAATCCCAGCACTTTGGGAGGTCGAGGTGGGTGGATCACGAGGTCAAGAGATCGAGACCATCCCGGTCTTCATGGTGAAACCCCGCCTCCACTAAAAATACAAAAATTAGCTGGGCATGTTGGCGCGTGCCTGTAATCCCAGCTACTCAGGAGGCTGAGGCAGGAGAATTGCCTGAACCCAGGAGGCGGAGGTTGCGATGGGCTGAGATCACGCCATTGCATACCCGTCTGGGTAACAAGAGCGAAACTCCGTCTCAAAAAAAAAAAAAAAAGTGTTATTATTATTGCTCCTGCTTTACTGATGAGAAAACTAAAACCCTATAATTAAATATGTTGCCTAAGGTCATACAGGTAGCAAGTTGTGAAGCTGAGATTTGAACTCAAGGAGTCTGACTCCATGTGCTCACTCACTAGGCAAAGCCATCTCCTCCTCTTCTGGGAGTCAAAGGTGAGTGTCATTTTCTATTCCTATCCCCTTCCCAAATCCACACGGAATTAGAAATTCTTTTATGGCATTTTCCTCTTCCCTCTTGCAGTTTCCTCCAGAATGCTGCATGGGGTTTACTTACTTCCCTTATTTTCCAAGATACACAGACAACGGGTGGATGACATTTGCAAGATCTTTAAAGATCACTAAAAACTTCACTTTCTACTTGTAGGCCTTTAGGGAACAGATCAATAAAGGCCTGTGGCATTTTAAGAAATACTTCTCAATTTGTAGATAAGAGGGTACTCTCTCCCTCTTCACTTAGCTTCTGACTTTTCTTGCTACAGAAAACAGACACGAAAGTGCTGGTGTCTGCTCCTTGATCTCAAACCCCATAGCCATGCCCTGCCTGCAGCTTGGCCGGTCAGGGGCAGTCTTGTGAGCATTTTTCTCATCTGTTCAATTCATGAAGGAGCAGAAAAGCCTAGCAAATTTACCTAATACAGGATATACATCTAATCAGCATGCCCAAAAACTGCAGTTGTTAGATATGAAAAGAAATCTCTCCCCATCTCATAGTCTTAGCTGTCAGCTAGGCCAGTCCTTCAGAGAAAGCAAGTACGAATGCAGTTAAAGGGGAAGAAATACTTTTTGCCGTATTTAGTCACAAGGGTGGGTATTAATTGCAGGTGTGCTCCTCAGTCTTTCGATTCTTAAAGGGACTTAATCCAAGAATCAACTCCAGATAAAATCTGCTTAGTCGACAAGGCACAGTGGTTCACGCCTGTAATCCCAGCACTTTGCAAGGCCAAGGTGGGCAGATCTCTTGAGGTCAGGAGTTCAAGACCAGCCTGGGCAACATGGCGAACCCCTGTCTCTACTAAAAATACACAAAAAATTAGCTGGGCACGGTGGTGGGCACTTGTAATCCCAGCTACTCAGGAGGCTGAGGCGTGAGAGTTGCTTGAAACTGGGAGGCAGCAGTTGCAGGCAGTAAGCCGAGATAATACTGTTACACTGCAGCCTAGGTGACAGAGTGCGACTCTGTCTCCAAAAAAAAAAAAAAAAAAAAAAAGTCGGCTAAGTGCTGTGGCGATTGAGAAAAAGGGATTAGGGGAGCAATTGCTGCTTGGCTTTATAGGAAATGAAAGCTTCTGTCTCTTGACAATCTTTGGGAGTTGGGATTTGGTAGGCAGGGAGGGATGAAAGCTGAGGACAGTGGGGTCACCAGGACCTACCCTGGGCTTGGAGGGAAGCTACATCTTCCAGGCCCCTGTAAGTACACAGTGGTGGTCCCATGGCTGGAAAGCCCTGTCCTTGGCTCCTCCTCTACTTGTTTTACCATGTGGCTTGATTGGCTTCTTTCCCGTCTCAACTCGGATGTCGCCCCCTCAGAGAGACATTCCCGGATCGCCCTCTCTAGTGTACTCCCCATCACATCTCCTTGTTTCATTTACTTCCGAGCAGACATCAGTCTCATAAATACTTGTTTGCTTATTTGCAATCTTCTCATTAGACTATACCATCCGCTGAGCCTCTGAAAGGCCCTCAGGACATTCTCACGATGCTTTCTTACTTTGAAGCTTTTTATTTTTGGTGCCACATATCACGGCAGGGGTATGGGGAGTCTGAGGTGGTGGTGGTGGTGGTGGCCAACAGAGACCACTCAGTCCATCTGGGCTCTTGGTTTTTTAAGTATTGACAATAAAGACTGCCACCACTTTACAATATGAAAATAATGATGGCAAATATTTGTCCGCACTGGTTAATTGTTAACATTGCTTACAGGACTGACGATCGACTTTCTGCCTTCCGTGGCTCTATGCATTCATACAAGGTACACCAGGGTAGGATTAGGAAGAAGCGTTCAAAACTTGACTCAGTTTTCTGTGAGCAACAGCTGCTTTTCGGCAGCAGCGGCTGGAAGTAGGAGCAGTTCCATGAGGGTGCTGAGTTAGCAGTATCAGTAATCAAGATTCTCAGGGGAATGCAGGAAGCTCGACACCCTGTGTTGCAGGGAAGCCCAGCATATATAGAGGGAAACCTCCCTGCAACAGTCCACAGAAGCTGAGGATACCTGCACCCGGGCCCCCAGCCAATGCTGACCATGTTCACAAAATGTTGGAAGGAAGGCTTTTCACACCTAATGTCTGGCCACCAATATTCAAAGACTCACTGAGATAAATATATATATATATGAATGTGTTCCGGGTCCACAAGGGCGTGTAGTTTTAAGGTCAAGAACTTCCCAGCGCCGTACTCCCCTCCCATCTAACGGTTTATGTTCAAACTTTGCAGGTGCAGGAAGAAACAAAAAGTCAATCACTCCACTGGAAGTTCTAAGGAACTCCATTCATTGGCCCAGGGTCTTAGGGAAGGTGGGGGTTCCTCCCAGGTTAAAAGTCCCCTTATTCCACATCCCTTTGGATGCCATGTTTGAATCCCCTTCCATGAACACTCCCTTCGTGGAAGCTGTCTTTCTCTCTCCTGGATTTCCCCTCTGGAGTCCACTCCACAATCTCTCATGGAAGCCTGTCTTCCTCTCCTAAACTCCACCTCTCTCTATTCCCTTCCACTCAGTGTGGAAGCTGCTTTCCTCTCCTGGATTCCATCTTTCTGGATTCTCTCACTCAGTGTGGAAGCTGCTTTCCTCTCCTGGATTCCATCTTTCTGGATTCTCTCACTCAGTGTGAGAGTTAGCTCTTTCTTTCTCTCTCTAAATAAATCACTTTCTACAAGCACTTTTGAGTCCAACATTTACTATGCACTGCACCATGGTTCCCTCTCTCATTCTTGAGAGAGCAGGAGACCAAGAACCTGGAGAAACATCCTTTCAGGGGAGCTGAGGACACCCCTAAACCCCAGTATAACATATATATCTGAACACAACAGGAAATAATGAAAGGAAGGTAAAGCACATTAATGAAGCCAGTTCCTTAAGTTCATGCAGTTTGTCGGTTGAAAAGCACAGCAGATTTTTATTACAGGGCTGATGGTTCCATGCCCTCCTGGGACTCACAAAATATACAAAGGGCAGAGTGTCTAGCCAGGATGATGCAGCAGATAAAAAATGACTTATCGAAACTGATTTCCCAGTCCTTAGCATGTATTAATTTGCCAGATTAAAACACAGAGTAGGGGCAGAAAATTTAGGGCAATAACAAATTGAAATCATCTGACTTCCATTGCATAATGAGAGGGCAACAAGTTTAGATTAACATTCTGAGCACGTTGGTCCCATGGAAAACAGAAGCAGCTAAATATCAAGGGCAATTTTATTAAAAATTTATCCTTCGCAGGGTCATTAAAGCATATTGACTAAATTACCATGGAACAGCAGGAACTTGAGTGATGGGCAGTGTCTTGCAATCTATAGCAGCTTGCAGAAACTGCCTCCATAAATGAGCCACAAGGAAAACAGGAAAAACAGGGGCAAAGCTTTCCATGAAAAGGCAAAAATCATTACAATGGCAAATAAAAGTCCCAGATCACTTTAAAAACTCAATGACTGAACAGCTACTATGTGCAAGAAGCAATCCCTCAATTTAAAATGTGCACAGAAACCCTGGGTTTACAGGAAAAAAAATAGAATTAGACTTGAAAGGAGAAAGCAAAGCTGATTTATTGCAAGATTTGGGCACAAGGGGTAAGAATCTAGAAAATACAGCCACATTAAGATTAGAGAGGGATGGATATGGATGGATAATGATGGTGAGTACCAAATCGCAGATGTGCTCTTCTAAGAACATCCTGAATTAATCCTCTCCCAAGGACATGTCCTGGTCATAATTGGGGGTTTCTCTGTCAGGCACACCCTGCCCAGCGCCCATGATCAGGGCAGAGCAGAGGCTGTGATGTCAGGGCCACAAATGGGACATGATCATGCATGTGATTTAGCGTTTAATTGCCGTGTGACTTTGTCTATGTCCTCTAGCCCTTTACCTTTAAATTCACATCCCACCTTCCAGGGATATTTACAGGATCAAACAAATTAAATGAATGTTTAAAGAAATAGTGCAGATGAGACAGATCTTTACAGCTGTCTTCTCATGGAGAAGTCTACACAAGTCTCATTTGATGTAGCTCATGGTAGCTATTCCAACAAAGGTGATTAAGCTTATTTCAAGTAAAAAAACTTAGAAATA